GCTTGACTGTCCGTTTAGAATTAAGGAGCAAGATGTACATATAAGCATATAGACACAGGGACTGTTTGATTATAGACATATAAGCATATTCAAATCCATTATTAAATCAAACATACAAGCATATTGACTGTTTTTATGTAAACCAACTAAGGAGACATCTTAAGCTAATCAAGAATGCTCAGACTAATTCAAACAATGCTTAGACTAATTCAAAAATAATTCTCAGATTCAAAAACAATGCTCAGACTTATTCAAACAAGGCTCATACTTATTCAAAAACAATGCTCACACTTATTCAAACTATTGCTCAAACAAAATTCAAACAATGCTCAGACTTCTTCAAAAACAATTCTATCAGACTTATCCAAAATAATGCTCAGACTTATCCAAAATAATGCTCAGACTTATCGAACAATGCTCAGACTTATCAGACAATGCTCAGACTTATCAAAAGCAATGCTCAGACTTCTTTAAAAAAAACTCTATCAGACTTATCCAAAACAATGCTCAGACTTATCAAACAATGCTCAGACTTATCAAAAGCAGTGCTCAGACTTATCAAAAACAATTCTCATTCAAAAACAATTCACATTCAAAAAAAATACTAGACTGAGGGACACAGAGTTTATACCACAATGTTTAAACGCCTGGGATTGGGTCTCCAGTCAGAAGTGGTAGATGTTCTCGGCCTGGAAGGAATAGCAAACGATCCAGCATTTCTTGGTAGTCTTCATTTGGATTAGGGTTCTCTTGGTGATCTTCGTTTCCTACTTCATCCTCCTCTTCATCTCCAAGGTCTTGGTTTTGTTGTATCACTTGGTGATTCGCATCATGTTCCGGTAGAGGCTGGGGAGGAGGAGACGGTGGATGTGGCTGATGTTGCGGCTGAGGAGGAGGAGTCTGTGGATATGGCTGATGTTGCGGCTGAGGAGGACGAGTCTGTCGACTGAGAGGACGAGTCACATGGGATTGGGTCGTAGACTGTGTGGCCGATGGGTTCGATGAATGAGAAGATACTCCGACCCCATTCGTAGTGAGTGGTGGTCTCTGACCAACATAGTTTTGGACTCGAGAGGCTACTGGTCTGCTGGTCTGGCCCCTTCCGCGGCTACTAGTCTGGACCCCTTCGCGGCTACTGGTCTGGCCCCCTCCGCGGTTACTGGTCTGGCCCCCTACAGCGGTTACTACTCCACTGTTCTGGCCTCCTCAAGCAGCTACTGCTCTGGCCTTCTGGACTCCTCCAGCGGCTACTGTGCTGGCCTTCTGGACTCCTCCAGCGGCTACTGCCCTAGTGTCCTGGCCCCCACCGCGGCCTCGTGATGATTTACTTTTAGGCGCCATGAAAATCGCAAAATTGGACTGGGATTTGAGTCGAAATTTAGGGTTTGGAACTCAGATTCGAACCAAAGGAAAGGAAAGAAGTGATTTGGGACTGAGATTCGAAGAATTGAGGAGATTTGAAAAGATTTGAGGAGATTTTAGACGAAGAATCGAAAATCGTCGGGAAAGAGAAAACCCTAGATCGAATTTGGGGGAAATTAGAAAATGAAGAATCGACTTTGTTTTAACCTAATAATTAAGTGTATTAGTTGCTCTTTAGTCGCAAACTAGTGACAAACCAAAAAAAAATGGGGGGGAATCGAAACCGGCCAAACACTTAGCCAAAATCATAGAAATTTCATAAACCGTAGCTAAATGGTCGCTATATTTGTCGGTAAATAGTCAGAAGATACGTCCCAAAACAGTCGCTAAATGGACAGGGGTCCCAAACTAGTCCCAATTTAGCGACTCATTTGTGACTGTTTTATATTAGTCACAAGACAAAATTTAGAAATCTTCACATTGTGATCAAAAATGGTGATATATCACCCACAAACACTCATATTAGTGGTATAGAGGTTATAAAAGTATTTTAGGTTGAAAAACTTTGCTAAAGTCAAGTAATATAGATATTTTACTAAATCCCTAAACATTACTCATATGAGTAATGTAAAAGTATAAATAGATTTGGTACTTGTGAACGTTTTGTTAGTAAACATCAAAATTTATGACCTTGGTTGAGTTCTTATTACTAAGTTCGACCAAACACTTAGCAAAAATCTTAGAAATTTCACAATTAGTACCAAAATAGTCGCAACATTGGTCGGCAAATAGTTGCAATATTTGTCACAAAATAGTCGCTAAATGAACAATGGTTACAAAATGGTGGCACTTTTGCGACTGTTTTGTGACTGTTATCTATTAGTCACAAGACAAAATTTAGAAATCTACACATTGTGATCCAAAAGGGTGATATATATCACTCACAAACACTCATATTAGTGTTATAGAGGACATATATTAGTTGAAGGTTGAAAAACTTTGCAAAACTCAAGTAATATAGATATTTTACTAAATCCCTAAACATTACTCATAAGAGTAATGTAACAAGACAAAGAGATTTGGTAGTTTTGAATGTTTTGTTTGTAAACATCAATATATATGACTTTGGTTAAGTTTTTATTACTAAGTAACATCAAATTAGTGTAGAAATGTTTAACTTAATATGTAAACAAATTTAAAATGTGAAATTTTTAAAAACAAAAATCGATAGTTGGTAAATAGTCGCAAACCGGTCGCTTTCTCAGGTGTCAGTCGCAAAATCTTCAGTTGCTAGTCGCAAACCGGTCGCTTTCTCTGCATTTTCAACGTGTTTTGAGCCAACTATTTCCAACTAATTTGCAACTAAAGTGTAACTATAACAGGTGGTTGTTAACTAGTCGCTCTTTTGAGACTCAATTGCGACGATAGTTTCAGACCAAAAACCGAGTCGCACATCAGTCGCACATCGGCCACCCATTTGCAACTAAAACCAATTAGTCTGTAATCGGTCTTAAAACCGTAGCTAATGAATGACCAATTACAGACTATTTCTTTTAGTCTCCGAATTGCGACTATATTCCATCGGTAAATATTTTGGTCGGTAAATAGTCGTTAAAGATTCACAGAATAGTCGCACAAATTTGCGACTATTATTTTGGTCGCAAAGGTTAGTTGCTAAACGCAAGTTTTCTTGTAGTATATAACGGGTTTTGATCGCTTGTTGGTCTTTCAAGCTCAAAAACTCTTAAAACCTTCTTGACTCCATAAATACTTGAATAACACCTTCTTGGCTCCGAAATCACTCCAAATGTTCCCTAAAACATAAGAAAACAATAGCAAATATAGGCGAGAATCCCATGTTATCAACTCCCCCAGACTTAGACTTTGCTTGTCCTCAAGCAAACAAAAGACCAAATCTGTTGAAGAGGTTTGAAAATCGCGGAAACTCTCCTATTATCAGTGACCGTATCTTGAATAATCTACAGGCCACTTGAAAACAAAATTCATGTCAGAACATCCGCATAATCGTCCTACACCTTTCTCATCCTTGTCCATCCGCTTCGAACCTACAGAAACTCTGCATTCACGTCAATCGACTCTTTAAATTCATTAAGTGTTTGGCGTGAGCTTTCTCATTAGGAAAGATCATTCAGGGTAGACGGCGCTTGGTATGAAAGGGGATATTTGGTATTTGGTGGTGGAGTTAAGGTGTTTAGGGTTACCGTAAATCTTGAGAATGTAGGATATGTTGCAAAACCGCAAGAGAGAACGGATCGGTTTGATGTCCACAGTTTCTGATATGTCTATAATTTGCATGTTTTATACATTCATTTACCATCGTTTTGAGTCTAGTTTCAATCATCTTTCACATCATTCATCATTGTTTTGCACACTTTGCACGATTAGGTGTGTTTTGCATTAGTCTTGCATGCATTCTGCATTTCTGAGTTGTTTTCAGGTGATTTGGAACTGTTGGCGATCAAATTGGAAGAAGCGAACCGGAATCAACCAGCACATACTCGACCCCGAGGTCGAGTACTTCTAGACTCACTTACTCTACCTCGAGGTCGAGTAACACCAGAGCCACTCTTCCTCACATACTCGACCCCGAGGTCAGTATCCACAGCTCACACCACTCGATCACCACTCGATCATCATACTCGATCACCACACTCGAGCCCGAGGTCGAGTGTCCGCATTTACCACTCACCAAAGCCACTCGACCACACACTCGATCGCAGCTACAGAGTCTTCTCAAATCCGCACTCAACCAGACAAGCTGAGTATAAGGAAGAGAAGAGGAGAAGAGGAAGTGTTTGGTCGCGGTTTGGAGTTTTACTCGATCATGAGGCCCATCTTGGCCCATCATCACTCTTTGGGCCGATCGAGTTGATTCACGAGCCGCTTCTCTTTTCGCTTTACTTAATTTTGTTATAAATGGACTTCGAGGGTTTTGTCCCGAGACATCTTGTTTTTTACATCTAGTTTTAACCTAGTTTTTACTCTATCATTTTCGCCGCTTTACTTCTGCAACTTTGTAATTCGAGTTACTCCCAAGTTATTCAGATTCCGCAATTGATTTCTTCTATCACTTTGTTTCTCTACTCTCAATCTCTTTTGGTTATGCAATTTACTTTGTTATTCGTGATTATGTCTTTGAGTATGTTGTCTGAGTAGTGACATAGAGTTCTTAAGGATGGGATAGAATGGTTGTGGGATCCGTAGTCTTTTAGATGGTTAAGTGTTAGAGTTGATTGAATCCCTTCTGGACTAGTTGTGTTTACTGCTTATTTCTGTCTGATCAACTGGAATTCGATCCAAAGCATTCCCGCACCCAGAAGGTGTTCGATAGAATGCTTGATCCACTAGTTCCAGAGTTATTGGTCTCTATCCCAAGGAATTGGCCGTTTAGAGCGTTTATTGATTGTAATAGGATGAATCGTATTGTCTGCATAGTTAGATTCCGTTAATGGGAATTAGTCTGGGCTAGCTTTGCTTGAGGGTTTCTATCACGATAGTGAATTGATCTGTTGTTGAACCTGTTGTCTAGGGATAGTTTGATTGTGTTTTGTTAACCATCTGAATAGGCTAAGGAGACCACTCCATTCGATTACCTCATCCTTCTGAATTTCTCGTCTATTTGATTCATCTATTTACTTGCCTGTTCATTCACCTGTTTAGTTACCAATTGCTGAGTTTTTGCATTTCCCGCTTGTTATCACTCCTATACTCGACCACATCCAGTGTCTGGCAACAGACTGTGCAGTCGAGTATATCTGTTACATTTTCTGTCAGACTTCAGCACCACCATGTCTTCCTTGAGTGCCTCATTGGTTTCCTTGAGTGCTTCATTGTTTTTTTCCAAACCATATATGTGCATCTCATTGTCAAGGTTGCGAGACATAACAACAGCAAATTTCTCGGATGGATTGATTTCCCGGTATTGTACACTGCCTAATCCGTAGATATACCCTCTTTTAGACTTACCACGCTGTTAAAGAAAGAAACAAATAAGAATCAACCATCATTCAAAACTAACCACAATTTCAAATGGATAAACAAAACTGAACCAATCAAACAAATGCGAATTTCAGATGGATAAAATAAAGAGAACCAATTCAAAAATAAACAAATGAACATAAACCAAACTGAACCAACTCATAATCAAACAAATGAGAATAAACCAAACTGAACAAAAACATAAGTCCTTTAACCAATATCACATGAGGCAGTTATAATATATTTTGGTGAGTACCTTGATATATTCTTTGTTCAGCACAATTCGAGAAGGAACACCACCAGATGAGGCCGTCTGGTCATTGAGAGAATCATCCTCTTCCATAGCCTGTTTAGCTGTTTCTTCTACTTCGAGTACAAGAGACTCCGAACGAGGGTCAATGAAAGTACCATCTTTACGCGTGTGAGTCCTCCTCACAAGGTCTGTGAAGGGAGGTGGTTCATCCAAACGAGACTCAACCATCTACAAAAACAAAGAGAAATGTTAGTCCAAACCTGAGAAAATATATAATAATAACAAAGGAAAATTAGAAGAGAAACACTTACCATTTGATACTCAATCTGTGCAAATGCTCGAGGGCCTGCACAATGCTTGTGAATCCCTTTATTAAGAGGATCATACATGCGGCTCCCAGCAGCTGACTTGCTCTTCTTTTGAGCTGGTTATGTATCCCAATACTCCATCAGAAAGTCCCAATCAGTTTCGCCAATGTACTTGGGTTTCTTGTTCTTCCCCTTCTTCTTGCTGATGCGGTCACCAATTGATGTCATTGTCTCCTTCCAATGAAACTAGACTGTGTCATGAAAACGAGCTTCCCAGTAGTAGTGTTGCTACAAAAAAACAGAGATTAGTAGTCGTAATGTAAGTGATAAAAGTAAGTTCACTCAGAAAAAAGAATCAAATATTACCACAAATGTGTGCCACCAAGTATCCGACCTATGGGCAGGAACATCTGACCAGTTCTTCCATGGTCCCATGAAATTGCTTTGCCATGTTGTGCGAACGAATTTGTAGACAGAGGGGTCAACACCAAACCTGAGAAAAGAGAACAAAACATTAGATTCGAAGACAACAATGAAGAAACTTATTCAAACCAAACAAACATTGTGTGGTTATTTTAATCTAACCATAAAGCTCCATTAAGCTTCCTTGGGTGCAGGTGTGGCTGGGATTCTCTTTCAGGAGCACTCAGCAATGCATCAAGAGTTCTTTGGCTGCAGTTGTTTGCATGTGACGACGTAGCGCTTGGAGATCGAGTGGCTCCTGGTGGTACAGTTCCATTTGGTACAGCTCCAGGAGGTACCCTTCGATGGTTTAGCTCTTGCAAAAAAATCAGAAACAAGTACAAATCATAACCAAAAGATCTATAACCCTAGACAAAAAGTGAAATCGAACATAGGGAAAAATCGAGAAAAGGCATAGACTAATTGAATCCTAGACAGTCCTAAACATCCACAATAACATCAGATCTAACAAAAAATCGAGAAGGAGAAGAAGAGACGAAGAAAACGTACCTGCCGGACCCGAGCCGGAGTTTCGTGGATGCCGGCGGTCCTGCTGTCGGCTGGAGGAAGCCATGGCAGTTCAATGGTGAAGAGATGTGACGATGAAGAGACAAAGAGATGAAGGGATGAAGAGAGGAGGCTAGGGTTTTAGATTTTTATAAGTGTTGAGAGTTGTTGGTTTGTCTCGTGAATAATGTGTGAGAGTGTTAGTATTTATTGGGCATTTATAATATTTGGGCCCAAAATTTTGGGTTGGGTTAACGTGGAAAAAACAAAAAAATTGGGTTTGGGAATAGCCCAAGGATAGAGCCCGTAAAGAAAGGACTTTAGGCAGCAAATATCTATAAAACAATTTAACGGCATCATTTTTCAAAAATCTATTGTGATAGAGTGGTTACTCTTTCATTCTCTCCTCATATATGCCTGGTTCAATTTTCTTTATTATATTTTTTATATAATTTTTTAAAAAATGTGTTCAATGACTGGTCAAAAATAAATTTTGCAAGCAATTTATCTTGGGCCGGCCTTGATAAAACGCATCGACTACCGCAATTATTTCAGATTTTAAACATAAGATAATTTAATGAGTTTTTAACATAAATGTTTTTAATAAATTTATGGTGATGACATGTGGCGGCTTCTGACGATATGACATTCACATTGAGAGAATTAGACAACTTTCATATATATAATTTCAATGAGGTTGGGCCACGAAAATATTACTTTGATATTCTATGCACTTGTAGTACTTTAAGATTTTAAAACTCTTTAATCATTACTTTCATACTATGTCCATTGCTCCATGTACGATGCATGATTAAGCTGAAGTGTAAGAAGCTTGATGATAATTAGCAACGGTTGCCGCTACTCGGTTTTGTAAATAACTTGTCTTCTATAACCAGCCAACCTAATAGAACAACAATGATTCTCTCGGTACATAATATGATATTGCGCTCATCCGCCATTTACCCGGCCGCCCCATTGAAGAAAGTCTAGATTCCAGCTCTTAATGACAATACCTTCCACAACACACTCCATGCGGGCTGACTCCAACGGTCGTTAGTTTTCGATGACTAAAGGTCTAATTTCTCGGATATCACCAAACGACATCCATGACTTCTTGTTTGGAGAAAAGAGCCCCAAGCACTATCATATCCGGGAAGTTCATTCTAGCATATTTAAAATCTTATCATTGTAGTGTTAATGTGTTCTTACCCTCCAGGCCTCCACTCTCAAATCTTGACAACTAGAACATGTAAACCTTAAACTCATATAGGATTTCAAAGACTCATATCTTGCATTTATACATTTTAAAGTCTCAAAACTAACAAGTGTAAGAGTGGCTAACACCTAGCACTATATGTCATTGTCAAATTTTTTATAGTATTTCTTATACTTTGTTAATTTATGTTTATATAGTGTATCTAGATTAGAACAAACCAAATAAGGGGTCGAAAAAGAGATTGAGGATAATTTTCGGAGCACTACATAAAGGCTTTATGATAAAGAAATGTATAAAGTAGGCGTAACCAATTCAAATGTTTTATTGCCCTTTTTTGATAAAGGCACTCAAATGAAGTTTAATCTAAGAGACAGATGTATCCCACTTGCTAGCTGGCGATTGCTCTCCCCCCAATCACACATTCTCTTTTTGTTTACATTATTCATGTAATACTTTTGTATTCATATGGGTCTTAAATTTTTCCTTTGATTTTTTTCCTTCGTTCAAGAGACAAAGCAACAACTTTGGCACCTGATTTGTCAAAGCCACAAAAAGTGGTTTTCCCCCTACTTCTTTACCAATTGAGATATTTTCCATTTCCTTCACGCCAACAAACTCGAAACCCACAGATATTGTTGCCCAAAGACTTACGTTACAGACAACCAACAATATTAATTATGGTATTGACTGCCACAGATATATTCATTTATTTCTGTCTATTTGAACAATTTCTCTTTGTTAATGACTATTTGAACAATGTCGTCCAAGGAAAGTACATTTGTACATGGTCCGGTGGCCAATTAACACGTTGTTAAAAGTAAAATCAGGTTTCAACTTAATATTTTGTTGAAATGTTTCAAATTCTGACTAAAACTATCTAATGTTTTCTTTCAATTAGTTCGCTGAATTAACAAGGATTAAAAGTCCAAAAAAAACAAAAAAAAATAAATAATCAAAAACTCAAAAACACAAACTATGCAAAACTCAATTAAAGTGTGATTTACATTTTTGACCCAAAATAAATAGTGAGATTTACATGTAATCATATAAACAAAAATTTCCCAGAAAGTATTTTATTTTATTGAATCCAATGAATGGGTTTCCTATCATTGGTGAATGGAAAAAGATGGTGGTGACATTTTTTCTTAAAAGAAGAAGTAAATGCATCCAATCACTTTTTTTTAGTAAATTCGATATTGTTTTAGAAACGCGTTAATAAAAAAGCATGCAGCTGGACAGTTCATTTTCTTACCATATTAATCGACCCAAGAAATATAGGCAGAGAATTATTTACATCTTTGTTTTAAAGTTTCAAACACTTTAAGAAATAGCGATTTAATACCACTTGATTTGAAAACCTTCAAAACCAATCACGATAGAATTAATCTTTATGGAAAATTTTGAAAAATTTCTCGAAATTAAGAAAAATTTACATCTTTATGAAATTAATCTCCCCATATTCTGGCAGATCTTTACAGTGCCATCTGTCAAAATATTTTGACCTCCATTATTATTGGGAAAATTGGATATAAAGGATATCTACTAAAAAATTTGTCCATATATCCCTTTTTTCTGTAGATTGGTCAAATAGGCTTTTTAAAAAATCAAAACCCAACTTTACCCTCATTTTCTCTCAAAATTAATTCAAAAAATAAAACTTCATAATTGATTTTACAAAATTAAAATACAAATAGAAAAATCACAAACCTTCAAATGAATAAGAGTCTTTCGTAAGACCTAAAAAAAACTCCGGCTTTGGAATCTCACATTTTGCAACAATAATGCGGCTTTGGACTTTTGATACTAGGTTGGTCTTTTCCTAGTTGACGTGTGAGGCTATTGTTCTGATACAAATTGACCAATCACTTCTTCAAAGGTTGGATTTAGAGGAAATAACATTTGATCCACGAGGCTCATTCATATGAATTAATCTAACAATCTACAAAACATGGTTTGAAGTTATTAACTTAAATCATTAGGGTTATTGTCGTTACACTTACCAGTCATCAAGAGAAGATTGATTATGATGAACACAAACATTAGAGACGAACTCAATAACAAAAAATGATCATAAGTAGAAGTGAATCCAAAGTTCAAAACAAAACCGGGAACATAACTAGTACTGAATCCATAAATCAAAACACAAAAACACAAATATAACTATAAGTGAATGTAATACTCAAAATAGCAAAACGAAAATTATTAGAATAAAATCAAAAACTCATACGCATGTAACTCTTCAAAAACACAAATATAAGTCTTCTGCAACAATCGCCTGTAACTCTTCAAAAGTTGTAGTCATTTCCGAACTCAACAATCTTCCACGATTTTTTTCATCAATAATAAATCTCCACTCCTTCTTGTTATACAATCTCCACACACCACTCCTTACGTAGATGTGCATCGAGAAATCGTTGATCAAAAAAGGGAAAATTTGAAGGAAAACGTGTTCTTAGCTTTTTAGAAACGAAAGTGGTGGATTAAGACGTGTAGCTTTTTAGGGTTTAAAAACGTATTAGGTTTTAATCTCAGTCTAAAAACCGTAGATAACAACTTCTACATCTTGTAGATCGTATCTAAACAGTAAATATTCATTTAAATCGTAATCTAAAACAAATATTTTGTTTCCTTTTCTGAAAATTTACTTTCTATATTTAGAGCATTCTAAAAATTACAGAAATCGAAATCTGCAATACCGTAGAATTTACATTCTAAACGAAGATTACAATTTCTAACGATGGCAGAAGATGTATAAATTATTAGAACGGCTATTCTAAAATATTTAGAACATAAAGCAAAACGTAGAATGCATGTTCTAAATATTTTAGATATATGATTTTCGGATTTCTAAAATTCTCAGAACATAAATCTAGTCTGAAATATGTAGAACATGTACAAAAATGCAGAATACACATTCTGAGTTTCGCAGAACTCTAGAAAACGTGTTCTACCAAAATTAGATGAAACTTTATCTATCAAAAAATCAACCTTTTTTTAGCCAAATCTAAAAAATTTCACTTCAAATCACCTCTACTCTTGTATATATACCTGTTTTTCTGATTAATTTTTTTTTAAAATGTTAAAAATAGGGAGTAGGAGTAGTTTCGTCCAAAGTGACAATCTCACCAAAAAGGTATATATGGACAAATTTTTAAGTAGATATCCTTTATTTCCAATTTTCCCATTATTAAATAAATACCCAAAATATGTCTTTATGTACTTATTTGTTTATTGATATCATAGTTTTCATTATATGTTGTGTGGGCAAAAGTAATCATTACATTAATAGTGATCTGATTTACTATTCTGCAGCTCCGAATTTAACTCTATCACTGATATACTTATTGTAATGGGTGTAGAAAAATTGTTGTAAATACAATGGCAAAACTATAAATTTTTTACTTTACTCTAAAATTAATTTCATGTACAACAAAAAACAACTAATACCTGGAAACTTCTCTCTATAACGCTTACACAGAAGGCAGTAAAAATTTTAAACAAGACAAGTACACAAAACGAGTAAAAAAGAAGGAAAGAATAATTTTAAAGATTCTGTTTTTAACATGGACTTTGATTTTCATTACATTGAGGAATGTTCGGAGCCAGCTCGGCGCGGCAAACTGGACAAACCGTGTGGTTAGATAGCCACGTGTCAGCACATAATTGGTGAAACCCATGGTTGCAACCGGGAACTAGACGAGACGATTGACCACTTTCTATATCTTCAAGACAAACGGCACACTCCGTCGACCTAGCTATTATGGCAAGCTCTTTTCCGGTGAGTTTAGGGATTTTCTCGAGCTCTAACACGGTTAGGCCTTTACCGGTGACTGGTTTAACCGGTTCCGCGAATCGAAGACGTTCGATACGACGACGTGTGGAACACCACAAGAGGAAGAGATAGATTAGGAAAACGATGCACATGCCAACGCAGGGAAGGAGGAGGGCCATGAAAACGGTAGCTATCATCGGCCCGCCGCCGCTAGATTCAACGGCGGCTGTTGGTGGCGGAGATGGTACTAAAACCGGTGAGATGCGTGTGTAGTGCATCTTACACCGTCTCTTGTTCTCTCTCTCTCCGGCTTGCTTTTTTTTTTGTTGTAAAAAAGCAAAAAGAGAGAAAGAAAAAAAAAGTGATATTCCTCTGCTTGTTCTCTAAGTGTTGTTGGTAGTGAAAATCATGTGAAAAAAGAGTAACGGCTATTTATACAAAGAGGAGAGAACACGGTAGAGCCAAATATCAGGTTCTAGGTTAAACAATTATTGTTATGATTTTTTTTATTTTTTTTCGTACAATCAGCTTTTCTTTATTATTATGGGTTTGCTTGTTTTATATACACCAGGTTCTTTTGCCCCATTGAATTATTATAAAACGTCAATTTTACTTGGCACTGAAAACGATTTGATATATGGCTTCCACTAACATATATATCCAAAGTATATTGGTTATATTTTTTTTATAAACATATAGTATTATTACAAAAAATAAACTTTAATAAATTTTATTTCATTTTTAGATAACAATAACTAATTCGTAAATATTTAGTTATTTGATCGAACTAAAATTTTTGAATCAATTATGGATTTGCCATTTTTTGGGATGGCATTTGTGGATTTTGCCCTTTTTGAATAGTTTATGGATTTTGCCCTTTTTCAGGCTACGGAAATATGATTTAACATGCGTTTTATTCGTTATGTTTGGGTTTAGTCGGTTGTGGTTGTTCTTAGGGTTTAGTATTTTGTATAAACTACGTATTTTTACCAAAAAAAATCCGAAATACGTACATTTTTAAGTGTAAAAAAATGGCAAATCCGTAAGATTTTAATGAAAATGGCATTTTCAAAAGATTTTGATAAAAAAGGGCAAAATCAACAATAATCCCAAATTTTTTTGAATGAGAATTACCATAATGAAAGAAAATCTTAATATATCATAAAAGGAGTATGTGAAAAAAGTTTGCAAGAGGTTCAACATGGATAAAGTAGAACCGGATAATACTCTTTTGTTTTGTCAATCAAATGATCAATTCTGTGATCGAGCACGAGATAACATATAGGATAAGGTTTTGTATGCTTATGTTATTGGCCACCATATGTCTGTGATGACATGCTTAAGATCGGAGACGTTGTAGAAGGGGAGTTATTAGTAAGTTAATAAGCAATTTAGGAATCTGAAATTTTTGAATTGGAATTTTTAGGAATCTGAAAAAATGACCTCCCCAATATTTTTGATAAGTAAAAGATGAGGAATTTGTTGATGATAAAAACCGTGGTGAATATTAATAGTATAGTAGTGGATCGGATTTGTATACATTTTTAATGGTAGTGTATTTTTTGGTTTCAAAGTTAAATAGATTATAGCTTTGTGGTCTAATTATGACATGAGGCTGAGTATGCTGCCATGAAAGAGGTGAAAAATGAAATGCGGGTAAAATCATCCATACAAAAAAATGGGTTCGTACCATGAGGAAAGTGTGTTAATTTGGCAAAGAGTCCGGCGATTTACCACAACGTTTTAACATGTAGTTCAATCATGATTAAGACCCGTTTAGGAGATATATATCTATTCTCGCAAAATTGTTTGAGGTACTAAAAAGAGCATTACTTAGAAATATAATAGTAATCTTGGCAAAAAGAACAAATAGAATGGTTGCAATAGTGTGACTATGGAAAAATAAGGTATTATCGAATCCAAAGCAACATTAACGGTTGCCAACGCTTTTAATTTATGTCGCCTTCCGGAAATTGTTTTTTTTTTTTATATTTGATTACTTGTATCAATGGGCGCTTCTGGTGTTTTGTTTTTGGTTTTTTTTTACTTCGCACTTTTATATATATTATTAAAATTATTATTTTATGAATCCGTTTTAAAATGGTATTAATCCTAGTCCAAACTAAATTCACCGATCAAATAAACCTCATAGGTGTTGATTTAATCAGGGCAAACTCTTTTCAAATAGGTCGGGATGACGAATTTGTACTTAAATGTCTGACTAGTATGATGAGAGCCAGGCAATGTAACACTCATTTGGTTACATGATAGGTGGATGGTGTCCTAGTGCATGTGACGTTGGCCCTGTTTGTTTGCCTGTCACGATAGCAACTAGCAACAGGCAAACGGACAACTTTTGGTCGATGTCGCTGGTTTCAGTCGCCCGCGACAGATAAACGAACAAGGCCGTTATCTAAAAGAAGCCTAGATTTTATAAAACTCACATTTTTTATGGTGTTCGATCAAGTCTTGTGGTTTTGTTACGTTATTTACTTGAACGTCATAATGTCCTCGGAAACACCTTTTTTTTGTATACCTATCTGTCACGTGTTTTTTCAGTACTTATAAAAAATATTTCATATAGTGGTTGGATTCACTCCGAACACATTTCGACACCAGTTTCATACAACTCTTTATATGAAAACATGTTTTTACTTAGACTACTTAGAATCTTAGTCCATACAAAAGATTACAAAGCAGAAAAAATATCATAAAGAACAGCAGAAAATAGAGTAACATAAAAGCTCTATAATAATATTGATACCATTGAAGCTCTTTCATTTTGGCAAAAATTAATCAGCGAACGAAAAATAGAGCAACATGCCACAAGCCCACAACACTTTTTTCTGACTTTGAATGCACCAATAAGTCGTTAAACATAACAAATCTGCAGTTCTCCATCTAACCGGCCAATCCTTTTGTTTTAACAATTCATTTATGATTTATTGTTAAGTTCTGAAAAAGCAATACTAATTATTAATTTAATCTGCTTGACCCTTTTTAAGAAAATTATAAATAAATTCAGCTTTTTAATAACTCTTTTTAATTTGCAACACGAATTAAATTAATCGTATTAAAGATTCTTCTAATTATTACTGAACAAATCATGAGCTATCGTAATATATAATGTTTGCGGTTGTATGGCCATTTGTGTTTTGGGCCGGTAAAATGGAATTTCAAAGCTAAGTTCGTTGATTTATTTGCTTTTCTGTGACCAGTGAAATGGAATTTCAAAATTTCTCTTTACTTTACTTTGAGACTAAAAGTATTTTTCTTTTTCTGCTTACCAAAAGTACTTTAGTTTGAGAGATGTATAAAATAATAGCAATCATGTTCTATGAAGCTAACAGAGGCGAGGGAGAAGTCCAATCCACTAAAAAGTTAAAGAAGATGGCACTTGACGATAATGCGTTATAGTAGTTATTTCTTTTCCAACAAAGAAATTTTAATCAAATTGGCGCAAAAAATATTATATTTACTAAACTAATTTACATTAATTTATTACTAAAATGATTTTTTTTTTCTAGAATTTTTTCAATATTCAAAAAAAAAAAATCAAATATATATATAGAATTACGTAAACGTCAATGCATAAAATTTGCTCAATCTGTTTATTTATAAAAAAATATGCCGTTATTTAAAAAATTGCAACCACAATATTTTGCTCTAAAAAGTTTGCAAAAAAGGTTTGTCGTATGTAGTGGTAGCAAAGTTTTTGAACGAAAGTCTTTATCTTTGTTTATTTGAACGGTAAATTTGTTTAGCCAATTTTTTTAGACGCATAATTGTTGCCTCGAAAACCTCTCTTTTCTCTCTCGCTTGAAGTCTTCTTTTAGATATAGGTTTTTGCAGTGATCTGAGCTTAATTGCAGGCGGTAGATCTTCTTACAGGTATCAACGGTTAGCAAGTTTTCTTTCCGTCAGTGGAGGTGTGGTATTCCCCCGGTGATAATGTTGCGGCTCTGGTTTGGAGGATGAGAGGCTCTGTTGCTGATGCGGACATCCAAATCAAACCAAACCGGGAGTATATCAAACCAACCGGTACATGTATCAAACCGGTTGATATGGAGCATTTTGGAGGATTCTTGCCCAAATGGAGTCATAATCAAGCACAAGGCCTAGGGTTAATTGTTCACCAGCAAATTAACCCTAAGAAGACTAATGATGGTTCAAGAGGAATCAAAGACCAGCGAGCCGAATCACCATGTTATGGGAATTTGACTGTTGCACTCTTTTTCCCTTATCTAGGGTTTGTCCCAATGGGTTTACCTAGAAAGATTTTTAACGAGGCAACATCAAGTCATCAAGGAATCATTTACCAAGCAATTGATTCGAAGATGTTACAAGTACATATAGCTGATGTACTTGCTGACAGATCGGCTGCACTACTTGCTGAACTACTCGCTGAACTACTTTCTGAAGTACTGCGTCAAATGAAGCCAAACAAGGAAATCTTCCTTATTCTACACTTGGACGCACCTCAAAGCTACACATGGAAACCAGGAGAACATCTAGGCTACACAAGACATGTACCACACAAACTTTGGTACACCTTACCACACAAGAACCCGCGGAGTTATTACTTGCCATATATGGAGCCGAAGGAGATCAACTTGCAACAACTCTTTCCTTCTTTATTTGTGCGCTTGTGTGAGAATCTTGAGACCCTCCAGAAGCTTCCAAGACGTCACAACTTCCTCCCCAAGTTGACAAGATACAAGGCACACCTCACTTGCCTTACTTGGACCGATTTTACATTTAAGTCCAATATTTTCATTAATGTTTTGTTTCTTTCTTTGAAGTCTTAGAACGTTGTACTCAGCCCTATATAAGCTGATCATTAGTCTCATTGTAAATCACCCTTGATCATTTTAAAGTAATAGAAACGTTTTCTACTTGTCAAAGTTTGAGTCTTTGTCATTGTTCTGTAGTTCTTTGTGAGTGAGTCACCAAGTACTTCAGGATTCTGCGGATTAAGTTTGTTGAGTGATTCAACATCCTTCATTCGTTCATTGATCGAGTGAGTCGATTATCCCACTGATTGAGCGAGTCAATCACCCTTCTATCCATTAATTCCCCTTGAATCGATCCCACACGAGAGAAGCGATCGCCAGCGTGTCAGATCACCACCTTCATCATCCCACCTTCCGCGTGGCAAGCTTGGAACTCTTGATCATCAAGTGATCTAAAGTTGGAGTGATTCCAATCTTGTATCATCTGGTATCAGAGCTTCAAAAGCTCCTATCCCCAAGGTTGTATCTCTTCAACCTATATCTTTTTCTATTTTAAGAGTTTTATTATTTAATTTTTTTTTATAAATTTGAAAACCAAATAAAAATTTTGTTTCTTGCTTTGTTATTGTTTATTTGCTTTAGTACTTTCATTAAAAAAAAAAAATCATTTGCTTCA